GATGGGCTCGAAAAGCCCTTTTCTATCCTCACACGTCCAAACACGCGGCCTTCTTCCTCTCTCTCCTCACACCTTACTTTCCCCCTATCGCTTTCCCTCTCTCTCTCTCTCTCCCCCCCTCTCTCTCTCTCTCTCTGTCTCTCTTTGTCCATCCGCACACTTAGCAGCAGCGCACACTCGCGCCACGCATCGCGATTCATGCGCTGCTGGGTCGACGGTTTCCTCTGTGTGTGTGTGCCTGTGTAAGAGAGAGAGAGAGAGAGAGAGAGAGAGGGAGAGAGAGAGAGAGAGAGAGAGAGATTCGACGAGCGAGCGAGGTTGCGGTTATTGTTTGGAGGGCGCGGTGCGGTGGAGCGCGCGATGCTGCGCTACAACGTGCGCACCGTTAGCCCGGGCGAGGGGTCACTCTTCATCCCGAGCCGGCCGCGCATGACAACACATCTGTGCGCCGCGTTCGGTCGCGCCGCGTTCGGTCGCGCCGCGTTCGGTCGCGCCCGGCCCGGCCTTGTTTACCTGTGCTGCTCTCGCCGCGGGCGGCCATCACGGTCGTCGTACCTCCAGATGTGTGTGTGGGGTGGAGGCTGAAAGTAAATATTATTTGCGCGCGTCGAAACGCCGCGGCACGCGAGGGGGGTCGAACAGTTTGGAAGCACGGCCGTCGCGATCGCCGATGCGAAACTGTGCCAAGTTCAGCCTGGAGGAGGGCTCTCATAGCCCGTGGGAGGTAGGCAACGTCTCGCCTGCTCGGCTGCAGGGCATGCGTGTACCGGGTGTTTCGTAAAAGACAAGGTGCGGGCGAGTTTGCCTATACCCAAGGGGCTATGCCGCCTTACGGGCAGAGCGGGTAAGCAAACCCGCCCTCACACCCGTGTCTTTTATGAAACACACGCTACTGCGGGGTGGCCTACTCCGGAGTCTTGCTCGCAGGCGCCCATAGCCTCCGCGGTTTGCCGGGAATGAATCTATGAGGAAAACAGCCGCACCTGTAAGGGCGACCGCAAGTGTCCCCGGCCGCCGCGAGCCCCCCTCGCGAGCAGCTCTGGCCCCGCCCCTCGCTCGCCACGGACGGTCGGGACCACCGCCGGGGTCCGTCAGGGGACGTCTCGTGCGGTTTTGTCCGCCCACCGCGACGTGGTCGGGGGGGACTGTTTGGCCTACACGACAACAAGTTTGGCTCGTCAACCGGATGGGGCAGCGGCGGTAATGCGCGCCAGTCAGACAGTTGGGGGGTGGGAGGAGGGGACGAAGCAGTGAACCCAACATAGTGATGAGGTGCAGCAGCCCCCCGAGGTGGACGGCTCACCCCCTGCCTTTCCCTCCCCTATGGCACCCGCTCTCCCCTCCGAGTACCACCCCAATCCACACCTCATCGACTCTCCCCCGACCCCCGCGACCCCCTCCTTTGCGGCTAAGGGGGCGGTCGGGCTGGCGGGGAGGTACTCTCGATTCAAGTGTGTGTTGGCCGCGGCCATGCGGGCGGCTGGCGGCGACGGGGCGAGGGGCGCCCCCTGCAGCGCCCGCACGGTACGGTGGCGTGCAAAATGGAGCGTGGAACTGGAGGGTGGGACCACAGGGCCACGCCCTGCCGCGTCGCCGTCCCCATCTCTCTCTCTCTCTCTCTCTCTCTCTCTCTCTCTCTCTCTCTCTCTCTCTCTCCCTCTCCCTCCTTCTCCCTCTCCATCTCGCTCGCGCTCTCTCCCAGGCGTTTATCACAAGTTGGCCCAGGCGAGCCCAGCCCCGCGCTAACATTATGTCTTACTTATTCCCTTTCCTCCGGGGCTCCCCTCCCCCTTTTTCCCCCTCTTCCACACTGCCCCTACCGTGGACCTCAATGGTGCCTGGCCCTACATCCCCTCCCCCGCTCTCTCTTTCTTTCCTTACCCCACCATCCTCTGGCTAGCAACTAAAATATTGGCATAGTTTTCGAATGGGGCGCCTCCGACCCCCTGGGCCCTGGGTGACGCTTTGCCTCGCCAAGCCCTGCTGGGGCCAGCGAACCCACAAGGTTTGGCTGCAGGTCCGACTGCTGGGGATGGAGAAGAAAGCCAACGACAGCGACCGGTCAGAGGAGGGTGGGACTGAAGCAGGTGAGGACGTGATCACACGACCTCACCCATGTCTGGTTTTTTCAGGGAAACAGGAAAACTTTGAAGAATTTTTAACTCTCATAATTTGAGGAAAACAACTCAGGTTTTGAGAAAATCCTTTAAAAAATGTAGGATCTCCCCTAATTTTTGACTAGATGTCCTCAAAACTTTGGTTTGAAGGGTTTATTTTCTTTGGCAACGTACGCAGAGCGGTGGAAAAGCCAGCGTGCGAAATTTTAACCCAAAGGTTCCTTTGACGGGGTATTTACCCATTAGCAGGCCAGGACAGAGTATTTTTAATCCACATCTGGACCTATCCTCTTTGATGTCAACAGACAAACGGACATACACTTAGCACACGCGCACACCAAACACACACCTACAGACAGACAGACACACACACACACACACACACACACCAGTCGTATTACGTTGTATCCACAAATCTCTCATTCTGTGTTAGATCTGTGAATTGTTTTTTACGGCGTCCACCGATTTTCCTCAAAGCTCGCCTCTTGGTTCCCACTGCCTCAGTC